TTACTTGTTCGTTTTCTGTGTTTATCATTGTTCACGTTTTTTTTTCATTCGGATCTATTTGCTATCCATTCTGATTAAACAAACAATGCAGTTTACATGCTTCGTCCTTGTTGCATTTTTCATTAAGATAAATCTAAACTAATTTCTGTAGTTCAAACAACTTAGAATTGTAGTTGAGAACGTCTGTTACAACGGCTCACGTATTAAAAAAAAGGGCTCATAATTACAGTTAATGTGTCGGACCGGGTCGGGCTCGGACACAAGGTGCACGGGCTCGGGTAGGATCGGGTTTAATTTTTTGGGCCCGATCTAAGCTCTACTTCAGAGTGAGTAGCCCTTCCTTGTGCTTCCCATCATCTGATGGGGCAGGTTGCTATAACTCGATTCTTCCTTCTGACCACCTTAACCGATCTTCAGCAATCTATCACTGATGCTCTCTCAGATCTTCTAGTAATAATCTCCTTGCTGTTCCACGTGCCAGAGTTTCCACCATAAGTGGCAGGCCCTACAGTGCCATGGCCACTAAACTATGGAACTCTCTTCCACAATCTTACCCTTCCACAATACTTTTTTCTTCTCCCCCTGTAAACCAACCATGGGTTTGTGAAAGGCACTATATAAATGTAACCTATTATTATTGTAACTTAGATCAATCATATTGCTTCATAAACCCAACTCGCACCTTATATTCGATATTCAGTTTTCCGGCTGAAATATCCCTCTGTAAGGGGCAGTAATTTTACTGATCTGTTGGTATTTATTTTACTACATGCTTCTATCTACACTATGAACATGATACTATTTGTTCACTATCCTCCAGGTCCAGTCGCCATAAAGTAGGAGTGTAAGGTTATGTTTGTGTGCACATGGGAATTATAGGTCTTTTGAGACAGAAAGGGCAGGACTGCACAGGAAAAGGAGCAGAATAATTAAATCTCCCAAATGTCTAGGTTCCAGAGTAAATTAACATGTTGAAGGGCCTGGCCCGACCAGCAGGTGGTGCTGGTGCAAAACCTGTGATTAGTAAAGTGATTTCACTGTGGGGCACTGGCAGACCATGCCTCACAACTGTACATCGCTTCGGATAAAAGATCCTACTAAGGAAATAAATCAGAAACCCTAATGTTGAGCCTGGCAGCGGGCTGAAGACAAGCTGAAGAAGAATTTCACCTTTCGGCATGACAATGACCTCAAGCATACATCCAAATCAACAGAAGAATGGCTTCACCGGAAGAAACTTAAAACTTTGGAATGGCCCAGTCAGAACCCAGACCTAAATCCAATTGAAAATCTGTAGGGTGACCTGTGACCTCGCAATATGACAGATTTGGAGCGCTTTTGCAAGGAAGAATGGGAAAATATTGGCAAGTCAGGATGTGGCATGCCGATAGACTCCTATCCAAAAAGACTCAATGCTGTAATTGATTCAAAAAGTGCTTCAATAAAGTATTAGTTTAAGGATGTGCACACTTATACAACCAGCTTATTGTATATTGTATATTATATATATATATATATATATATATATATATATATATATATATATATATATATATATATATATATATATATATATATA